CCAGTCATACATATTCACTTAATTATTAGTCCATTAAATACGGGTTTATGATAAGGGATCATTCAATAAGTACGTACGCACTGGATGGGGGGGTCAATTTTTAGACAAATTTTTGCGTACGTACTTATTGAATGACCCCTAAGTGCTTATTCATTTATATATTCACTCATGTATAATACATTCGAATAACACATATAATACCTTACGGTTTAATCTACATTGTACTCATGCTAGTATCTGTTAATTTCAAAAATCTTTATGAATTTGGCTATATATTAGTTAAAACTGATTACAAATGACCAGGTTGCACTAACTAATAACAGATATAGTTATTGTATAAGAATTTATAGTAGAAATAACACTTAAACCTTTTTCGTTATCACTTTACAAATTGATTAAGTATTGAAAAAAATGTAACTTATGCAATAATAATCAAATATACCGTACACTACTTTAAAAGGTGCAGTATTATTGTACAAGTATAAATACGGTACCGACTTCTTTGCACCGCGTGCACCGCTTGCACTGACTTATTTGCACCGCTAGTACCCCTTGCACCCCTTGCACCACTTTATTTCATTTTATTCATGTAATGACATTTAATATTCTGTAGTTTAAACATTTTTAAAACTATTTTTTAAATTATCTCAAATCATAATGATACTTTATACGATAAATGTTGTTATTGTCTCACTTCTAAAATTTAAAATTACTAAGAATGTTTTATAAAAACAGCCATCACATTATATTTTCGATGAAAATGATATTTTATTATATTAATTTTTATAAAATTAATTAAATTTAAGTTTGTAATGCTAATTCTAAAATTTATAACCATTTAAAGTATAGCGAGCAATAAATGAATTTACGGTACATAATATGAATATTATAAAGAATAAGTATACTATAATTGCATTATTTTCATTTTAATTAAAATCATATTTTACTAATGGCTCTTAGTTTACTTAATCTTATTTTAGATAGTTAATTATTTTAAGATATATAAATAGTGGTGATATAAATATATAAATAGGGTAATAGTGGTGCATGGGGTGCATGGGGTGCATGGGGTGCATGGGGTGCATGGGGTGCATGGGGTGCAT